AAACCACGCCTCTTAAAGTACAGTGCGAAGGAGAGGAAAGGCCCGTGGGGACACGTCAGGGGCGACGAGCTACATCTAGGCTCGCTGCTGATATCACCGTATTACTCATGTCTCACCTATACACCACTGAGTTGGGACCACGCGGCAAGCACGACTACGGCTACGAGCACGGCGTTCACTTTTACTGTGTGTCTCTCTCTCTCTCTCTGTCTTCTCTATAGGGCGGAGTCTCTGGTAACAAAAAAAAAATAGAGAAGGAATCTTCTCTCTTTCTCTTTTACGCGTTAAGCGCACGCGAGCTCTTTCATTGCAATATGGAAACATTTCATATGTAAGAGAGCCCTTCAGAAAGTAGGTACACTTGGTTTTATTTTCAGGAGAATAGCTGGGGAGCAGTTTCACTGACAGGACTAGGGGAAAGTGCCATACTTCAGTCTCAAACACACAAACTTTCATGTTTATCACTACTAGTTATTTGATCGCAAAAAGACCTGTCGGCCACCGTACGTTGAATATCCCTCGTAATTTCACGTAATTCAGGTGTGAGGACGGAAGTCCGGGACTCCATTGAAGGCTCCGACTAAGACATCACGGCATCGGTCCCAACTACCACTACCTGCATTCTTACTAACGGCAATAACCCTCTCAACATAACCGCTTACGATCAGTTCCTGTCATACTGTTGCTGCAACGGATGAACTCGACCTTGTCGATAACGTCTTTACTAAGTATTGCGAATAAAATGGCATTTATACAATGATTATCGGCACGGTAATATGCACGAAAACAGACTGCATAATTTGGAATATAAACTCTCTCTTACATTTAAGCCCCAGAGCAACCATGCTGTTTAAGAATCTGGATCAGGTTACGAAATTATCTTCTTGTCATCAGGCCGTAGGAATCTTGATAGCGTGGCGGTGAAAGTCTTCGCATGCTAGCATGGAAATACACCAGTAAAAAAAATAAAATTTAAATAAAGCAGAAGCTGGAAAGGAACATTCCCTTCATCGCTCAGCTGAAACTCCTGCAAAAGTCACTTAATGTGTACTGAACCTAAGTGGAAGAGAACATTCTAGTAAATTCGCCGTCTTCTCACGAAATTTCAAGCACGAAACGAGCGAGAAGACAATGAAAATTTCCCATTGATCTTCAAATGAGACCTACATTTTAGGTCAGATGAGTTGGTCAACTTCAACTCTGAAGCGTTCAATCTATGTGAAAAAAATCTCTGGTTGTTTATGAGGAGTCTGATATGAGTTTACCGTGAAGCGCTGAAAGTGTTCTGTCTAAAGAAGACGCAATAAAATCCCATTGAGCTCTATTAACGGTCTCTGATACTCGTGCTGCCTGTTTCATTTAAAGATTCTACGCGGTTCAAAGGCTTTGTGCGAAGAATAGGATTAATTCATTACAGATGACACGAGACCGTTGAGCCTGTGGAAGAGTCCCAAGTATTGAATCATTAACCACACTCCAAGCCTTCAGACCGTTATAAATGTTGCATCATGCAACTGTAACAACTGCTTTTATGAGGTTTGACCGACTTCAACTTTAGGAGAGCCAATCACTAAAATAAATAGTTATAATAGACTCCAGTTCCTGAAAGTAAGTTCATAAATAGAACATAATTTCTTGCTTGAATTTCCGAAGAGTTCTAAAAGCTTCCTACTATAAAAATTCTATCAAACTATGTAATTTCGTAATAGAAAAGTTATACATATATCCTTACAGAATAAAAAAAAGATATTCAATAGAATCTTTCCAAAAAAAACTTGCTCTTTCAAAGTATTTCATGTATTTTCTGTATTTTAAGGGATTTCACAATCAAATAACAGCTGGTGAATTTTCATCTATCTTCTATTACAGCCAAAGGGATTCCGTAAATTCAAAGTCCAGTTCCCACCAAATGCAACGGCAATTGCCATTTTTAACATCCTTGGCACCAGAGATCTGTCTTCTCACCCTGTCGTCCTTCTTTCGTTCTTGCTCATCTTACTCATGCATAGCCGCATGACAAGAACGCTTAGAATTTGTCACTGTCATGTCCTACGTTGGAGGGAAAAAAAGAAACGCCAGATGCCTATAACGCGCATTTTCTGTTCTTCATACCTGGCCGGCGGTCTCCCTCAAACGGGTTTCGATTAGTGCGAAGTACACAAATTACTGAGCATGGTGAAGAAGTCAGAATTCCTGAGCTGAGTAAAATATAAATTTTTATATTGATATTCAAAGTGAGAGTATCTTCGCCTTGCAAAAACCTTGTTTCTAGAATAGCGTTAATCAATAGAAGGTCGGTAAACGCATGCATAAAACAAGAAAGACAACATGGGAAAACGTCTTTCAAGTATGGAAGAAAAAGGGGAAAACATGCAAATGTCATCGAGAATTCGTAACCGAAATTTACTTGCCGCTGCTTCACAGGTTACAGGGTTGACAGGGCAGTGTTTCGCATATTTAGTCAAATGCTACGTTTTAAATGAAAACACACGAAACACTTTCCGCACCTCCTCACCAGAAAGCGTGGCACGAAGTAGGCTAGAAGAAAAAAAAAAGCAGACGATGGCATGTCCTCACTAGTGTTCTTTATTTTTTTCTTTACTGTGTTCAGTTATGCGCTAGCGGGAGAGAAGTTTAAAAAATTACGAATGGGATCTGCGGAGGTATCCACACGTCCGGGATGAGAGGGGGAGGGGAGAGTCCGCCACAGGGTAATGAAAAAAAAGTTGAGAAATGCTGTTCCAGAATATATCACTCCAAAGTACTCTATCAAATCAGGGACGATTCTGAAAACTCCTGAAACCTTTTTTCCGGCTGAACGAAGGATTGCACGGGGTATAAATCCGTACAAGGAAGTAAACTGTGTCTAATGTCTCTCACTGATGAGCAAGTATTACGCAGCTTTGAAGATCACAAAGCTGTCTCTGGCTAGTGGAACAAAGGATCGAGAAGATGCGAGTATAATAATGTACCACTACTGCCACCCTGAGAACCTAGAGACCATTAACGGGGAAATTACTCGGTTGAGCATTACTTCTCCAAGAGAGAGCTAAAATCAAAGGAAGTAGGTAAGCCTCATAATGGCAAAAACAGACGGCGAATCAGAGAAAAACCGCAAAGAAATCAACAATTCTGGGAAACCGCAAAACGAGGATGGAACCACGTCTGGCAGATCAAAAGGAGAGCACGAACAGGTACAAGGAGAAACGATGAGGGAGCTCGGAGCAACCTCCACTTCTCTCAAGTGACAATGAGTGATAACGACGAGGATCGGCACATGGAGGACGAAAAAAGAGGAACTGAGGAGGGCTGGAGGGAGCCCCTCCGTTTCCATGGACCTCAGTCCTCCTCCTCACGCTTCGCTGACTAGGTTCCTCTCCGCACTACTAGCTTGGGTTTCGGGATTCTCACGCTACTCCTCTCGTCTCAATCCTCACCTGTATATGCATGAGAGACTCGCCACTACTACCCCGCACAGTCCACTAAAGGCATCAACGGCCCCGACTGAGACCGTCTCCTTTCTCGAAATTCCACCCTCTCATGCATGAGAAACACGAAACCGACTGCAGCCGTCAGAACAATAGAGCGTGGGATCGACAGGACATCCATGGGTGAAAAGCCTTCCTCTATAGTGTGTGTAGTAACATCTGATAAAATCTACATGTCCACAAACTCATAAAAAAAAGAAATTCCTCGAAAAGCAGGTCTTTTTGAACGAGCTCAGCAAATTTTCAGCTGGTAACAGAATTAGGAAATTCCGGGAACCAGGCTTCTCTCTCTTCCAACTAAGTTTCTACAAAGCGGCCGCCCTTTCAGCTACCCACGACCCAACCCGTAGAAGGCGGGGAATGTATTTTAGGTGTATTGCTTACACATAATAGAAGTCCAAGCCTACTTTCACAGTCTATTGTCGTGTCCACACTGCTACCGGAAGAAAATACTGGTCCCGACGATCATTAGAATATCCACCACATCCATCCTTCATCTACACGAAGATAGCGGATATCAAAATGGTCGCCGCATCTTATGCTGATAATGGGTGACATGTACCAGATCTGTTTAGCTTAAACTAATTTCTTCCCACAATGGTGTCGTTTGGGAATCGGTTTGACGGAGATAATCTTATTACCACATATGCCCATTACGTAGCCGGACCAGTTTAAAGTTAAACGAACCCGGTGTATGTCACCCAATGAGTCTCAAGCAGACGCTGACAATTACGTCGCTGAAAAATATGGCAATTCGCCATCCAACAAAATGTTATATGTAGATTCTTTCAGACAAGAATGCATTGTTCTCAAACGACAATTTGTTTCGTCCACAATGTTGCAAGTTGAGCGATCACTGACTTTCACGAACATGAAATTTATTATCATTGCAATAGTTCTTCCGATCTCATTACTATGATTATCAGTCGATGGTTTTGGCAATCGCAAGTTGCTAGTGTAGTGCTGAGGGGCGCAGTTAATGCTTGCACCCTCCCTAGACAACATAGAGGGAATGGCTGCCGCACTAGCAGCTCCAGTGGTCCACTGCACTTGTTCCGTTCCAGTTCATTCGTCCATATATACTTTAAGGTTTGACCTTATATGACCTCATTTCTGATCCATATGATCTGGCTCAAAAGTCGAGTCAGGTCCCAGTGCGGAGATAACTCCCATTTAAAAAATAATCTATACCCTACCAACAGTCTGAAAAATAATCTTGGAGACAAAAGCCAAACACACTCCCAACTCCCAGGCAACAATACTAGGCGAATCTAAAGCTTTTCCCATCCCTAGGAACGTTCATAACTTTGGAATGCTAGATCGGATTGATTCAAGGTTTAAACCACTCAAATGACAAGGAAATTCATTACCTACTGCAATGACTTTGTATTATTTTGTTAATCATCATATCCTCTTTATTGCGAAGTAAATTTACAATAATTTCGTTCTTTTTTTAAAAAATCCGATTTAAAAAAAGGACTAGCACAGAAATCGCTCGACAATTGAAGAAATTCAATGGTGAGCAGTCAGCTCAAAGTTGATTGTCCATATCAAATCGAATTTTGACAAGTTGAGAAGAGTTACATACTTTTCATCTATAGCCTGGTACTGATTGTCTCGTAGGATGCTCATGCTCTTTGATTAATTACGGTTGAAAAAGTAAATAATTAATTTTCAGATATATTTTAAATATTTATTGTGTAAAAAGTGTAAAATTATTATAGCTCACCAACTAGTGGCACTATCAACATTGGTGCCTTTAATAATTTCACCCAAGGTGACTTCATTTTTAGAAATATTTCCTTCAGTCTTGCCATGCAAAATCATGGGTGATTGAAGATACAGGTCATGACAGTACTCTAATTACCCCAATCTTTGGGGCAACTGGAATGGAGCCCAGAGCAATCAGAACATGGCTCTTTATACCAGCCAACATTATTCCCAGAATCTCCAAACAAAAGCTCAGAAAAATTGCAATGAATTCCAAAAGGACAAAGTTGAAAAATGGGTCAAGACTGCTCTATTTATAAAAGATGAGCCAAAAATATTTTTAGGTGACTGCTGTTCTCTAGATCTCCTTCTGTGCCACTTTAGAAAATACCAGCATGTCCTAAAAATTCTTAGATTTGCAAAACTTAAATATAATATATAAAATAAAAAGATTTTAAATAATCACATCCTTCTGCAATAGACAAGGGTTACCAAAGTGATAAAGACTCACAAAATATTGCTTTGCTACTCTTGTTCATAAACAACAAGACATCAGAATGGATTTAGTTCTCATTATACCACTTGAAAACTCATTGACATTTGTTGTATCAATTTTCTGAAACTGTACACTACCTCTGAAAAATGTGCAATGAGAAACTATGAAATGCCAGAGCTTACCTGAGGATACATAAACAAACTATATCAAAATGCCATTCACCTATGGTAAACATGGGTAGCAGTGTTTTGTGGTTGCTCTTGATCTGGGATATAATGAACACAGAATATTTTATAGATCACAATAACTAAAGGAGCCATCCTGAAGAATTTGAATTTACCCTTTCTTTTAATGACCCCAACATTCTGATTTTCCCAGAGTAAATGTAATAGGACTGAGAATGCACAAATTACAAGGAAATGAGACAAACCATTATCAAAATATCAGCAGTGACACTCTATGGATACAATTCATTTTTTACCTGCAAAACATGGATTCTCAGAGCAAAATGTTAGGTCCACATTCAATAGGTTTAAATACTTTTTTTGGCATGACACCAGAAAACCTAAATTTCCTATTCTAAAATATCAAAACAATAGAAGTTGAAATTTGATGTGGGGGAAAAGGAGTCATAAGGATGTGGTACTGGAAGATGTCAGGAGTCTTCTTTTACATTTCCTGCTTCACAGTGAGGAGTTTGCATCACTCCACTCTACATACAACAGAGCTGGAATGCAGGTTATGTTCTGGCCACAGTAGATCTAGAACTTCAACCATATTTCCACACTATTGGTGCATAGGATTTAAGTCGAAGAAAAAGAGAAGCGAGGGAAAAAATTGAGATGGGACTGCATTGTCAGTCAAACATATTCTCATTGACAAACTCAGCAAGATACTCTGATGTCCATGGGCACTCACTGCTATACTTATCAGCTGAATTCAACTTTTACATTGAGTCCAACAGGCTTCCATTTTACTACACAAAGTGCTGCACTAAAAAAGTGATCACAAGAAGTTTATTCTCAATTTTCATGTGAGAATCATGAAAAAATGCCAATAGAAACATAATTAGCATTTCAATATTGGCTCTGACTGAAAATTGTCAGAAAACTCAATTGAAAAGTCTCACAGAAGATATCTTCAAGAGGTTATCATGTAAAGGGAAGAATTTCATTCACATCATCCTGGGAGGCACAAAAACAATAAGGGATAGTAATCTGCCTTGCACCCTTCACCCTTGTTGGCTCCCTAGGCATGACAACATGAGGGAACCATGGCCTAGGTATATATATATATACAGGCCTCTCTAAACATTAAGTCAAGATTACCTAGCTACTTTTGTATCACATTCAAGAAGTTTTTGGAGCAACAAGGTTCAACAGCTTATCGTCACTGGCTCCTCTGCAAGCACAAGGCAGAGGGATGGATTAGACTGGTCTTGGACGAATCATTCTGTTGGTAGGCACGGTCGAATGACTGAAAGGGTAACCCCATGGGGGAAACGGATAACTTTAAGCCCCCAAGCTTACATACTGGTTGATTAGCCAATGGAAAGATTTCTCACCATGGATGTCTTGCGAAGTCTGGAGATTCGTATACTATCTCTTCGTCGCACTCGTCCTTGAAAAGCGGAGAAGCTTCTTACGAAATCCGGGATTTGAGATGTAACTAAAGACTTACACCGTCTATTTCTCAAAAATGCGCGCTTACCAGGCGCCATCTTAGATCCACCCGGGATACGAACGCTTGCGCCACCGTACCATTTTGCTGCCCATTGGGACCGCAATGCAGCTAGTGACACCTATATGGAGCTATAATAAGTTTTCGTTCTGCCATTTTATCTGAAGATGTCAGAAATAGTCGAGGTGATGCTCTATCAACCTGCAGGGGAGCATAGAACGACTGAGAAGTTCCGGGGCTGTGTGACATTCAGCAGCATTGTATCATCCGAGTGTAGAGTGAATTTGATTCCACATAGTCTTTCGCCTTGATTTCATTCAAAATCGAATGCATATGAATTATTTCCACTTATTCACCGTAAGGCGGGAAAAATATACAAGGCGAGGCAGAAAAAAGGTAACTGAAAATGTATTTATTATTTATGTTATATATTATGAACATCTACATGATCCAACGCATGGAAATGTGCCTTCAGAGAGGTGGTGAGCATTTTGAACAGGTAATTGTGCACCATGGTGAAAATGACTGAACTTGCAATGTGATTGTGATGCAGTGTGCAATATATAATATATATAATAATGTTCTGATTACTGATTTGCAGTTTCAGTTTCCTTTTTTTTGTCTTACCCTGTATTGCAGCAATGGAATAAGAAATCACCAATGTTTGTAAAGAATGACGATGACGCTTTACGGTCATGGGCGCCGACTTCTAACAAATATTGGGAGGGGGGCAAGTTTATAATGCTCTTGAAATAACATTGACGGAATTATTCCAGGATCCATTGGGGTAGCTCAGTATTATTATGGTATAGCAGAGTGACGAGGGGGGGGGGGTGCTGGGCATGGCCCTTCTACTCCATACCCTAACGGGCTGACAGGGATCTCCTCCAGTTGGAGCTCCAAGCAGAAAAATCATATTTTTCACTTCTTTCGTGAAGCAGCATTTTGTTTTCAATTTTCCTTTTGTTTTCAATTTGGCCATTCTTGGGTAGGGGGGGAGGCCGTCCCCCCTCAATGATATAGTTGGGGGGAGGGGGTGGCAAGTGCCCCTTTGCCTCTCTGGGTTCGGCGTCTACGGTTACGGTAACTAATTACAGTTTATGGTAATTTCAGTGCTAACAAGTTACTTTGCAGGGGTTAAGTAACGGAAGCAGTAACTAGTACATTTTCCAAGGAAAATGTCTATGGTATTATTGAAACGGGTTACTTTCTTGATAACTGACTCAACTTCAAATGATAATCAGGACTGCAACGTTCATCCTTGTCGTCACTGAAATTATTTTACAAAACTGAAAACCCAGTTAATGTTCGTTACACCCCAATCAACCAGTGCCGCTGTAGAGAGACGATTTAGGGTAAGCAGGAACACTTTCACCTGCAACAGAATTCATCACACCAGCGTTGAGAAACAGCTCTTTTGAAAGCGGACTCAACACATGAGAGTGTATCGCAAGCTCGTAATTCTCGGGAGAGCGTCAGCCGAAGCTTTTTCGTTTCCTCGGATGAAAATATGTAGCCATAATTCTTGGGAACACTCTCATAGAGAACTCGCATCGCATGAGCCTTCTATTGAGAGGATTCCTCACGCTGAGGGTTTTTTCAAGCTTCTACGAACACCACCGTGTGTAAACTCTCCGAGATGCAATCCAAAGTTATAATGGAAATTTCCGTGCCATTCACCAGAATACAGTTCGAATGAGGACCAGTTTCAAGTCGATAAACCTCGAAAAAAGTGAATTGGAAAGTAACTTTTACTTGTAACTAGTCACTATTGGTGAGAAGGAATTATACGTAGTACTAATAACTAATTTATTTAAGGAAGGAATACTGTGATTATAACTAGTTACTACACAACTCTCGACTATGACATCAAGGTATCAAGGTAGTTTAATGGTTTGTAGTTTAATGGTATCAAGAGCCGATAACACCCATTTGGATACCACATGTCGAGGTCGAGCGTTCCTTACTTTTACGGTAATCCTATTAAAGCTAAATATTTTTGTATTTTTGTGATTTTTTTTTAGCATATTCTAGTTGCTTACTGAAACATACGACATACATGACTATGACTAGTTATCATAGTTTCACACGTGACCAGCCCACCACTTGAGAGCACAACAGCTAAAACAACGCTTCCAGTCTATTTCAGAAGCATTAGATCTCAAAAGGTAGGTTGTCGAGACGGTAGTGGGTGAGTGTGATACTCTTTCCAGATTCCCTTTCCAAGCATTTTCTCTTCCGTTCTGAGTCCAAGAATGAATAAGTCATCTATATTTTTCGACAATACTAAATCTGAGACGTATTGGCCTGAGAAGATCTCTAGTCGCAAAGTCACTTTCCAGCTCCTGGAGTCGACTTTTGTCCCCCTAATCCAAATTTTAAAGAATCGAATCAGCGTGGAGTCGTTCCCATGAGGCGCATTTCCACGGTTCCTTTGGTTCCAACAGCATTAGTGATAGCGGTCGTGGAGATAAAAAAATTTCCCGAGTGTTTTGTCCTGAAATAAAAGGGAGACTCGTTATGCCGTTCCCACTCGGATTGCAGAAGCGTGACCAGGCTTGTCTCCATTGGCCCTGTCTGCTCTTGCGGCGTCACTGCGGGCACAAGCAGAACGACCCCAAAAGCGGGATGGTTAAGGAGGAACGATACAAGATGGCTACCGGCAGTACACGGGATTGTATTCTCTGGAGTTCATTCTAGAGAATGGATACTCAAGACATGGTTCGTTAGAGGTCCCTGGGTGGCCCGCCAACGGTCTGAGTTATCCGAAAACCAGCCTAAGCATCCCTTCTAGCCCCTCATAAAGATACTCGTATATGGCCTGCGCAGTGCCATATTATGTCCATTGAGGATGTGGACCTCGAGCCTGATGAAGTTGAGTCGTTCTGGTCTAGAGCCTCCCAGGAAATGACCTTGGCTCGTGCTTCCGTTCTTCTCAACCTTGGAGAACTGGGGAAGGTCACGTTTAAGGTATTATTTTGTGGTTGGACACAGAATGTGCTCATGAATAGCACTGGTTCCGCGGATAATTGGTTCTGAGCCGATGCGAACATGATCGGTTTCGTTCACACATCTGACAAATGGAGCTACAAGCAGCTCACTTCCAGCTCACGGAGTTGTATCATGGCATCTTGGCTGTTAAAACATCGTAGCTGACGACGAAAGTATGAACTTTTTGGTTTTCTATGTCATATATGGAAAGAAGAAAGTCAAATGCTACAAGGAAAATCTAATGCGTCGCTGTGCTGGATATCAGAATGTAAAGTAAAGCATGTTAGACTAAGGGAAAGTGAAATGCAACAGTCGTGTATCACGCCCGTGTCAGACAACAAACTTCGCGTTGAAGTTCCATTTTGCACAGCTCCATTGCAAATGCATTGATCCAAACGCATGTATACATTTAGATATTACGTCAATATTGCAGTTAATCTTATCGGCAAGCTTAGATGTCAGATCACTAACCTTGTAAGAATGAAAAATATCGATCGGAAGTATAGGTTTTTCCAGGCCAGATGACGATGTATGAGAGTCAAGTGCGACTCGGGAATCCAAATTCGACACTGCCTTGCATGACAGTTAAAAGTTACATGAGGAAAATCAGATGAGACGGCCTGTCGGATGCTGGACTCTCAAGATATGCATATCTGGCATGAGGAAAGTCAAATCCTGACAGCCCAATGTCATGAAAGCTATGGCTTAGCTGCTTACATCATAACGTCACTCTGTTCCAGACACGTAGAGATGTATGATTGTGCGTGCAGGAACCATCGATTACATTTTCAAGAGGTGATGAAGCGACGTAATGACGAAGGGATGGTGGCTTCACGTCCCAATTCTGAAAGAATGGACAGGCGATGCTAGTGAAGATCCATCCCGAACTCAGTCACTTGATCGCGATTGAAAATCCGCTCTAAATTATCCGCTAGCAATTATTTCACCCTTTCTTTTCTGTAATTCCCGAAGCAATCTAATATTCTAAAATATTTAAATTTCCATTCTGCACTTAACTTCCTCATGTCCGCATTTTATGTGGAAGATCTACTTGTTGCACTTTTCAAGGGGAGCTAATTGGAATCTGGCCTCCCATCTCCAATGGTTGGTGGTTACGTATTCCTAGGAATATGACGTATCGATAGTTACAAAATAATGTTAATTGCAATGGGAAAACCAGAAACAAATTTATCTGGACGTTGCGAAAGCGGAACTAGAAAGCATTCCCTTGGCACGAGTATAGATATATCTCGTATGCCTGTCGCACTTGACTTTCCCAATGTTTAACATGCTTTTCTTCCGATAAATCCGACATCCAGCACGGCAACGCATTTCACTTTCTTATTTCCATATTTGAGAAGTAGATCTATTTTATCTCAATCAAATAGGCTTAGATATTCGCATATTCCAAGCTTGATAGGTCCTTCATTTATTTGATCCATCCAAATTTGATGTATGGGGCCTCTCACAATCTTAAATCCTTCATCTTTACAATGCACCATTTCCTATCAATGGAATTCAATGGAGAAATGAGAGAGCTCAACACGAATCCAGGCTCTTCAGAAGTTGTTTTGCCACAGAATCCTCCATCCAGTCATGTGAGCACCTTGTATTGTCTGATTATGTGACGTCGTTGAAGTTTTCCTTGTCATAACCAAAAAATTGTCCTGAGCTTCGGAGAGCCTAAGGTCAATAAAACTGGGCAAAATTAACAATATGAATTTGAATACCGTAAACAAAATTCAGGAAAATTCCGAATAAAGCATAGGCTATTAATTTGTCATGTAAAGTGTGGAAAAGGAAATTGCGACGTAATAGCAGGAAATGTTTCCCACTTTCTCATACGGTCATGCTATTCCGAGAAAACCTTTTATCGTTCAGTGAGAGAAAAATAAATAAAGGAACCTTTCTCTTATTGCCCAGCCAATTTGTATTTTTCTTACTCTCGGATTTTCTTTTCTGTTCATAGCCAGACCCATTTGTTCCCTTAGAGAGGATAATTTTTCGCCTCTTCGCATGAGACGTTAATGTGTTCCGTCTCATTCTGGGAGTCCTTCCTTGCAGTCATAACTATTTCACACCCTTTTATCCTCTCTCAGGAAAATTCCTCCAGCCGGCAGTTCGGCGCAATATTTATATATGATTAAAGTACATATTTATTCAAGATCAATGTCCACTTCCATCGATTTCTCTCTTTACCGTACTATGTACTTTATTCATGGACTTTTGCATAAATTGTTAACACTTTCCGTGTGAGTTGCTGGCACTCTAAAAATAGGATTCTCTGGTCGAGACCATCGCTTCATTGCCATTGTTTCCCAGTGTAGAGAAGCAATCGCATTGTTCATTTTCCACGTATACGACAGGGCAATTAAATTGAAACGATTTTTGCTTTTGGAATTAAATCTCTGATTCCGTTACATCAGGAAATCATACGTGTTGGAATTTCGGGGTTCAGATTCATCTACGGTTTCGGCTACGAACTCAAGGTCTTTCTAGGTTATTTCCACAAAATATAAATTTGGAAAGTTCAGTAATTATCAAGCAGATATTTGTATTACGTTGAATTTTTCGAAAATGCCATTTACTTCTCATGCAAAAAATGCAGTTTTTCCATAATTGAGCATTCGGAACTCTCTCAGAACCATTGGAATCAAGTATCTCCATCTTCCGTCAAGCAGCTGAAATAACTAACTTTTTTTACAA